TTCTTCATTTAACTGTAGTTTGGCTCCCTGTACAAGCAGTTTTGGAGAAGTTATCAGCAACTCAGTGACTGTTATCTTCCCACACAATACAGGACTTGAAATGATTCCATATTGTGATACAGTGTCACTGTAGAGACATGGTAGAAGGAAATGGAGATTCCTGCCAGCATCAAATGGTATTTGCTACTCTCCAAAAATTGGAAAGAACCCAACAGGATGTAACTTCTTTCCCAGGAGAGCATTAATAGTCACACTTGCACAGCCTGAAGCAGTAGTTCAAATAAGGAGTCATTGTTACTTCATAGGCCCTCCATCCAAAGTTCTTGCCATGCATGGTGCAGCTCATTGCAGAGGGGCGTTCGGTCTAGAGCCATCCCTTCCAGCAGCAGCCTCATGATTCTCTGTGCAGAATCTCACCCTCAGCCTGAGCAATTGCAGTTGCCCGAGAATGTATGGCTGAAGTGGAACTTGAGTACAGGTTTTCCTAATCTGCACTGAACTGCCCATGCACTCAGCCCATGGAGCACTGGCAGATTAGAAATCTGTCCACATTCAATTGTTTTTCCTCCTTATGTTTTACCAGCAGCTGATTGTTCTGACTGTGGAATTAGATCATTAGCAAGAGAATCATGAACTGGCTCCAGTTGTGTTCACACACCTGGTAGCCCCACTGACAAGGATGAACTGCACAGGTGTCACCAAGGGCAGAATTAGGAAGCAACAGGATAGCAGAGGTCTAATTAAAGACAGGATTTGGCCAGTGGAATCCTCATTACTGAAGATAATGCACCAGACCTGGGGGCAGGGAGGGGGGGATATACACAGCTTGACTATCAGAAGAACTGGCTCGCCCTCATATGGAGCTGGCAGTTAGGAAAAACATCATTATGCTTGCAAATTGAACAAATGTAGTCTGGAGGGAACCAAGATGAAGCAAATATGTTGCCCTGCGATATCATTTTGCAACATCTCTCCTTGGGAGCGAACCTGTGCTTTATACTGGGGGGAGAAAATTAATCTTGATGTATAAACTATTTTGCTGCAAGATCTTCTGTTCCTAATCCAAGGAGAAGGCTGTAAGGAGGATTCAAAGGCTGTAAAAAGGTTGCACCTGCAGAACATCTTCTATATTCTCTGTTTTTATTGTGGCTTGTTTACCTGTTCGCTTTTGTATGGAGTCAGTTCTCAATTTTACAAAATGGCACTAGTGCAGAGTATCTGAAACTAAATGAACTACAGTTCTGTGAAAATGAATTTTTCATTAAAGCATAATAATGCAGAAAACAAGGCTGTAAACTTCCCTCTCATACAAAACTAAACGGAATAACTGGGGATGGATAGCAGCTGCTTTGGGGCTTTTTTCCCCCAAACTGACAGCCAGCTATTACAGTGGGATGGCGGAGAAAAGAGGGAGGCATATCTGGCCATGCCCCCAAACCTGCTGTGTCTGGTTTGAAGCACAGCTATGTGCTTGCAACTGATGGATAGATAGATTGCCTTAGTTTATGTTCTTCACCTTCTTTCCTAGGGCAGCTAACAAGGTAGAAAGAAACTGTGGAAGCACCATCAAAACAGAAATAAAATGCAGCATACAAAATTCAAGCATAAAAATTACAACGGGAAGAAACCATTCAAATAGACAGTAGAATCAAAATTGTCAAATCATTTCCTATAATTTCCTATTTTGCCACAGTTTTGAACAGCATATGGGGCTGCTGTTCAAAAGGGAGCATGGGATGTGAATTCCCTTGGAAGCCAGCAAGTGCTTAATTGAGGGTGAAGTTCTCTAGATTGGTAGCCACTATATGTTGTATTCAGAGATGTACACATTTTGTTAAATCCTTTCAAGTCTGTGATTTGTGGATTGCCAAGCTTTTTTTTTTTTTTCCTTTTTCTTTTGGTTCTGTCATCTGCTCATTCATGGAATTAGATTGCTTTGTTTTTTAAACTGGGATCACATTCTAACACTTTCTCATTAGTGTTAATGTTTGCACAAGTGCACCCTATCAGTAGATCCATACATACAGATTAGCACAAACCCCTCCACGAGTGAAAAGTCTCTCTGCAAGTCTACAGAACCAACATGGCTCATGAGGGGGAAACACCACAGATTAGACAAAGCTGAACTTGCTTGAATCCACTGTGAATTTCTCCAGCATCTCTAGTTGTGTTACTGTTAGCAGTCTGTAGCCATCTACTATAGAAATGCTTCATATTCTTCCCATAAACCTGAAACCTAGCTAATATTTCAAAGTATTCATGACTTTTGAAGCATGGGTAAAATATATAAAAGGGTCTTGCAAGCTTCATTTCTTTCTTCTTCTTCTTCCCGCCTCCCCAACTTTAATTTTCAAGTCAATGCAACCTTATCTTTCCATTGTAGCTTTCCCTGGAATCCTCAACCTTTGGTCTTTTGTGAAATGTCAGTTTCAATAGCTTCATTTAGAGCTTTTACCTAGTAATGCAAAAATGCCAGTGTTTTAAAAATTTCCTAGTGTGCAAGCCTTGATATGTTCCAGGCAAGCATTGAGAGATTAAATGCATTCCATATATTTCTCCATCTTCTTGTACTTTGCAGCATCTACAGTTCTTCACTCACATTATTTGAAATATCCCAAATTAAATGGCCAAATTCATCGTATGATGGGCTGTATCCCCCCACTGCCCCCTTCTAACATGCAACTTTTGATTAAGATAATGCATTCTTTGGAGGAAGGAACTTGTCTTTGGCCTTAGGAAAGTCTATAAAGCACCATGTATTATTATTATTATTCCATATTTCTTCCTCTTGTAAGGAATGCAGTGTGGCTTACAGTCTTCCTCCCACTGCATTTTATCCTCACAACACAACTTTGTTAGGCTAAGAATCAATGACTGACCCAAAGCCACCTGGCCGAGTGGGGACTAGAACCTAGATTCCTAGTCCTGGTCCTAGTTCTAGTCCTAGTCCGAGTCCTAGCCCTAGCCGAACATTCTAACTGCTACACCACACTTGCTCTCTTTGATGATGAATTGTGATGTGCTTCACAACTGAAATCAGAACATGTATATTCCCAACAGCATACACATCATTGGGAGTAATAACTTTCTAGGGACTGGAACTGGACTTTGTCATGCTTAGAATACACACTCTGGGCTCAATGGGCAAAGTTAGTCATGATGAACTTAGGTCAAATTGGTTTCAGTGGGTCTACTCAAACCATGACTAATTCTGGATCCCACTCAATGAGAAAATGTAAAGTGCTGTGGTTGGGTTATGGGAAAATCCCCCCCCCACCGCACGCACACACACACACCCCTTTCTGTTTTCTATCCACAACAAGTTCATAGCTTTCACAAACCCCCGCATTTCCAGATCCGTGTCAAATTCCCTCTTCATGGGTGCTTCCTACAGGAGAAAGCACTTGTCCAAATGGTCAGAGTGTCCAAGAGGCATTATTCCCAAGTCTCATCTGTCCATTCCAGTTACTGTATCACTCTCTATAGTGCAGGGTTAGCGCCATGTGTGCCATGTCGTAAAATACAAAACAAAAAAGCACATAGTTTAAAGCTCTTGCTGCAAGTAACTAACCTCAAGAGAGGCATCCCAATTTTTTAGAGTAAGGAGTAGTCCATGCAAAAGCTGAGCAACACCCAAACAATGAGGAACAAAGACAAGTGGCTGTTTGAGGAACCCTAGAAGGCTGCTTTGCTACCCCAAACATCCTGGTTCTAGTACTCAGCTTTCTTCCCTGCTCCAAAAGAACAGCTGGTGATCCGCTGCCATGCCATGCCCTTCATAGCCACCACTCCCGACAAGGAGTAACAAGAGCCAGACTGCTTTGTCGCTCCGCTAGAAAGGCTTTGGTGGTGGCAGTGCTGATGGCCGTACCACCCACAGTGCATGTTGTCCCTGCCAATGTCAAGCTCCGAAAAGATGGAGTACATGCAACTGATTTGGACCAGAAGTCGGTCTGTCCAGCTAGACTAGGGGTGGACAGAAGGAAAATCTCCAGATGTTTGGGACTCCCAGAGCATGTCCAGTGTCAAAAATGCTGGGAGCAGAATGTCAAAGACATCTTGAGATCACTGTGTAGCAGCTCTCCACCCTCACTGACTCAAGTCTTGGTTTGCCCTATTTGGAGGTGGTAAGGGGTGAACTGGGACTTTCTTCATGCTGTTTCACTATATCACTATGGACCTTTCCAAAAATTAGGCGCAAAATTGTTCCAAGTACCTGTAAAAACAAGGTAGTTGCCACTTCACCTGTAGTTTGCAAGTGACAAATTGCACCTCTGTGATAAAACTGGGGCCCTTATTAAGGGCTAGTGTGTTGTTTCAAATGTCATCCAGCATTTTTTCCCCAAACAAGGTTTTAGAAACAGTGCTACAGTATTTCTGACAGGATGACTAACAGGATACTATCCTGAATTATGATTTTGACTACTGGGGCAATTAAGTTAAAAATTTGCAGATCACAATGAGGCGCAGTTAGGTCATCAAGCTATTTGCATTTTCTTTTCCAATGTTGCTTTTCTTTGTTTCCTGCCATTTCATGGGGCCCTTTCCTTCTCTCCTAATGAGTTCTCGGAGGTGTGCTAATGAACACTGGCTACAGAGAGGCAGGCGGTATGTGTCATGTTACTTTTCTTTTGTGTCCCCATATTGCTTTCTGTTGAAACAATGATCAGTGGGGATAATTTAATTAAATGATGCACTGAAATCTAAAATCCAGATCTGATGCACAGAGAGCTACAATGCAGAGTTCTTGTGTAGACTGGGGAGTTCTCAATGCTGCTGGTGTTTGTATGGCGTATACATCAATATCTGTTATCCACAGATAGTTTGCAGTGTAGCAGGTATGAAATGCTCCTGACATATCCCAGCATTGCCATCACGCCTGCAAAACAAGATCCCATGGAAACATGCTGTCAAGTGCTCATCTTTGGCCATAAAGCAACCTTGGGCATCTCCAAAGTGTTTCAATAATGCTTCTTTCTCTCCCTCTCCCCTCCCACTAGGACGTAATTGGAAAAGCGCTGCAGTATATTGGAACATATGGAGAGCTCAGTAATACAGAGCAAGTTGTGGCTCTGATTGATGAGGAAATGTGTATCAACTGTGGCAAATGCTACATGACCTGTAATGATTCTGGCTACCAGGTAAGAGCACAGCTGTAATTAGCAAAAAGACGCTGTGAGTTATCTTTTTGCTGCTGAGGCAGAAGGAATCCAGTGTCTGTTGATAGGCATGTGGGAAAAGGAGATTTACAAGATACTGGAAATTAACACTGGCACACTCCCAGGTACAGACTGCATGAACCGTGTCTGATCCATTCGCAGAGGTTGTCAATAAAGCGGGTTTCTTAGAGGCTTGGGATGCAGGGAGTGTTCCCCACCCCCACCGCCTGTTTCCTACTGCACAGCATCTCTTGCTATGCTGCTAAGTCCCCCTGTGTTGAGGGCTGCAGAAAATGATTAAAGACACGATGCATCCAGAAAACATTGAACTGAAAGCATTACTTTGCTTGATGATTCCCTTTCATGGTACACACTATGGCAATGATTTGATTTAAGTAAACCTCAGTTAATTTAACTGATTCAGTGGCAGCATCGGGACTGGGAACATTTAAGCCTTGGGTATCTCTTCTCTTCATTTTTTAACAGTTTGATCTGCTTTAAAGGCCCCGTTGAATATAAAGTTCATGACGAGTCCAGTTTAACATTAAAAAAGATTTTCATATCCTAAAAGCATTGTCCAACGCATGATGCAGTAAATTGCACAATGTATATTTCCATTCTCCTTCGATTATCAAAAAAGCCCTGTAGAGGAATCAGGAGGGTGAAATACTGGTAAAAAAATTCAATAGGTCCAGTATACCCTAATAGCCCAATATGGGTTTTCAAAAGAAGGTTATAAAAAAGAAATGGATATTATAGGTTTTGCGCCATGGGATTGTCATCTTCTGCATCAGGTTAAAACCAGCATGGGGGAGAATTAACATTATAGGGTAAAATTCAAGCCTACATTCCAACACATACAGAGGAAGTGCAATCCAGGAGTCCCTGGGTGAGCAACATGGGGACTGTAGGATTGTTTAAATTCCCCTTCAGAGATCTGAGGCAGCACTCTGGCCTTGGAGCGAGAAGTCAGAGATGCCCCCTCTTCCCCTGCCTGATTGAAGCCACTGTGAAAAGAATCGCACTGGTTGCCTTCCAAATGTGGAAAAGCACCATCAGAGGAGTGTTCCAGTGGGCTGGGAGGGGAGTATCCTGAAGGGGCCAGGATATGAGTTACCTCTGAGCCTCCTGAAGTTTCCTTCCTCCTTGAGGGCCCATCCAGTAAAATCTGCAGAGTGAGATTGAAGATCACTTCCGAAATCCCTTCTCACCCTGCATTTGATGATCAAATGATTCTCGGTTCAGGAGCTTCCAATCCCCAAGGGATGGGCTTGCTTGACTGCAGGTTGAGAGAAGGCTACCCCCAAAAAGGTTTTGTCTTGCAACTCCTCCAAGAGCAGAGATTTCTTTCATTTTCTTGGGGAATCTTTTTCTAGTGTTTACCTCTTTCAATCCTCACCGCCTCAGTCGCCACACTGCAGTCTTCCTCTGATGCATTTCTTTCCCCGTAGCTCCACTGGTCAGATCCAATTTGTATTTCTGCTTAAGGTTAGCTGGCAAAGCACATGATCTGCACACCGCCTGCAAGCAGGAACCAAACTGTTTGTAAAGTTCATTTTTAGATATCCAAGGTTACTGCAAAATCAGGGCCTGGAGCAAAACAGCCTGTCTGAGTCCACAGAGATATTTCCCAAGAAAAGGGTTAATGCAAGTAAACATTAAGTTAAAAAGCCTGCTTCACACAGTAGAAAACTATGGAAACAGAAGATAAGAGAGCCACCAGTGCTGAGTTTGTCTTACAGAGTACTGTTATCAAACACCATCGTAGTCTAATAAAAAGGTGCTATAATATGTTATAGTGACAGTGCAAAGTAATTTAGTTTGCTTGCAACTACAATAATGTTCTGGTGCTGTTTCTTTTAAATGTTGCCTTATGAATACCAAAGGTAGTTAATCTGAAATGAAACAAACAAGCAAAAATGAACATAGTTAAAATCTCCAGCCAACCAGTATTTTAATCCAAAGTAAGGCAGCATATTAAAAATAAAGCCTTTCCATGCGTGCAAGACAGCACACAGTGGCAGTCAGTGCACACATTCCTAGTGCTTCAGTTGTGGAAGCCCACCTAAAAGTCGTGTGTCATGACTGAGAATCTCTGTGCACGAACAATGCATATGACAAAGCTAGTTGGCGAGGCCAGGACATGATGGGGTCTCTTATCCATGGTGCTCTTATGTATTCAACCTCCTGAGTTCTCCTGGGTCAGTTCAAGTGTGCCTTGTCCACCGACTTTGCTGCTTGTCTCTTTGGTTATACCCCACTGATTCAGGTATGTGCAAAGACTTGTGTTTGTGTGAATCCAGGTATTCCCATGTTTATTGCTTACTGTGACAAGTGCCACGTTAGGTGTGCAGCTAGGAAAAGAGAACACACACACACACACACACGAGAGAGAGAGAGAGAGAGAGAGAGAGAGAGAGAGAGAGAGAGAGAGAATGAATATATTGTTAGATGACTGGAATTGCTTAGCTTTTCAGATGTAGAGTAACAAGCATGACCTTGGCTACACTACAGGACTTTTCCAGGTGTTTGTGTAAGAGTCTTCAAGGTGGTCCAGATGTTTTGAAAAGAGGTGCATCATTCAAGAAAATTAATCAGAGAGCCAAGAATAGCTGCAGATCACCACTCAGGGAATATACATTGGGTGGGAAAAACATACTTGTTTCTGTACTTTATACAGTACATAACATATGAAATGGGCATTCATTTGTTTGTTTTAGATAGCTTTCATTATGATAGGAAAATAAAAATAAAGGGGAAAAGCAAATAAGACAATGACATTCGGGAAAAATCATTTGGTACAATCCATATAGAATTGAGCTCTTTATTTTTTCTGTAATAATAATGTCAGTAAATCTTCAGGCTCTGAAAGACCGACTTCACAAAAAACACAAGTATCTTTATGGAAGTTAACTATCATGGGCACAACTTGCCCTAATGTTTGATCCTGCTTTTAACAAGTGAAGCATGTTTGAGAAAGAGACAGAGTGGGAGAGATTTGTACCAGGACACAAGTTGCTTCTCTGTTTTTAATTTTCCAAAATGCATTTTCTTAACAGTTGAAACTGTTACTATAGCTGCAATGCGGTAACAAACAAAGATGTCTCCGAGCACCTCAACTACAGGAAATGCAGATGCTAAAAATGGGGTTGCTTTTGACCTTTTCTGTGAGTGACATCAGTGCTGTTTATTTCTGCTTGCAGGCTATACAATTTGATCCAGAAATCCACCTGCCCACTGTTACCGACAGTTGTACAGGCTGCACTCTGTGTCTCAGTGTCTGCCCTGTTATTGACTGCATCCGAATGGTTTCCAGGACAACACCTTATGAACCAAAGAGAGGCCTGCCCTTAGCTGTGAACCCAGTGTGCTGAGGTGATCAGACCAGCAGTTAAAGTGAACCTTACATTTGCTTGATTCTATTGATTTGCTTTCTAATTAGTACCAGCAACTCCAACTATGTTAAAAAAGAAAAATAACCTGATGATGGCAGCCATTATAAGACTGGCTGTGTTTTCCAATCTCTCTTTTTTTAAAGTCTTTGGACAAGCAGCAGTTAGTTTGTCAGATGTTGCTTGTCCTTGTCTTTCCTGAGAAGCATAACTTGTTTTTTCTCCCCTTTTGCAAATTGCTGTGTGTTCTGATGATTTGGGTGATTTTCTATCCACTAACAACCTGCAAAATTAGAGGAACTTTTTCTAAGCCACTAATCCCTGACATGTGGACAAACTTCGTTACCAGGGAAACATTTAGTAATTACACATTTCCTTTCCTTTTAAAAGTGTTTTTTAAAAGATGTAATTAACTACATATCACACAAACAAAGCAATGTGGATTGTGTGTGTGTGTTTACAGAAAGATATAAAACAGAGGTTTAAATGGGTATTTTTGAACTATTAATCAGCTTCAACGGCTGCAGCATATGGCACTCGATTACCTTAAGTCTTCCTAAATTCTACCTCTGACTAGACATTAGAAACTGCATTTGCAAATACAGTGCACTCTTTGCCATTTAATGTTTTTTCACTTGGTAGCATGATTTCTTTGTTTCCCTTAATGAACCTCCAGAGCATGCCAATTAGCCGTATTCTTTCAAATGTAAGCATTAGCTCAAGAATCTGATTTATAGTGGGTTTCTGTTGCATCAATGTGCTGTTAGAAGAGGATATTAGCAGTAGCAGCCTGTGTGGCACAGAGAGGTCCAAAAGATGGGGCATATCTTATCTCCTCGGAATTAAGGTGGCATATAGTACCTGCTGAATGCCGTCCGGCTATACAGGTGTCTGTTTCTTTGCAGGGCTGAGTGAATGGAGGGGAACTTGCAAGTGTCTACTATCTTCCTCTCTTCCTCTCCCCCACCTGCCCCACTAAGCTTGCAGCCCTAGCATGCCAGGCCATTCCTATTCCCAGACCCCTTTACTTAGCACTGGTTTGCCCTTATCTGGAGTACTGTGTCTAGTTCTGGGCACCACAGTTTAAGAAAGATGCAGACAAGCTGGAAAGGGTTCAGAGGAGGGCGACCGCGATGATCCAGGGGCTGGAAACAAAGCCCTATAAGGGGAGTTTGGAAGAACTGGGCATGTTTTGCCTCAAGAAGAGAAGACTTGAAGGGAGAGAGATTAGCACTTTTCAAATACTTGAAAGGCTGTCACAAAGAGGAAGGACAGGATCTCTCCTCACTCATCCCAGAGCACAGGACCCGGAATGATGGGCTCAAGTTGCAGGAAGTCAGATTCCAGCTAGACATCAGGAAAAATTTCCTGACTGTTAGAGCAGTACAGCAATGGAACCAATGACCCAGGGAGGTGGTGGGCTCTCCCATGAGAGGCATTCAAGATGCAGCTGGACAGCCATCTGAGAGGGATGGTTTAACATGGAGTCCTGCAGTGAGCAGGGGTTTGGCCTGATGGCCTTCTGGCCCCTTCCAGCTCTACTGTTCTATGATTCTATGATTAACAATTGCCCATTCCTTTACCTTATTTGCAATCTCTGGGAAGCCTGCTCCTCTTGGGGAAACTGACACACATCCCATCTCCATAAAGGGAATGGACATGTGGTACACTGGGAGCTGAACTGGATCCAGCCATTGACCTAGGTGTAGCTGGGGATACAAGAGGGCTGCAGTGGACAAGCCTGTTGCTGCAAACTCATATGGAAGCCACAAGTAGCAATGTAGGAAGCTACTCAGCAGCAGCCTGGGAGGATCCCTTCCCGAAGGCACAGAATTGGGCAAGTGGAGAGCACAGCACAAATAACAATGATGGTTTGTACCATCCACCAGGAGAGTGGAAATTGCTGGCTGGCCAGATTCTTCCTTTCTCCTGTAGCCACCGATCAAGGACAGACCACATTTGTTCTGGAGGATCCGAAGACCTTCCAGAGCAGATTTGGGGCATGCAGGAAGCAACAGGAAATTCCACTGCAAGAAGGGAAGTGTATTCATAATATGAAAATGTTCCTCTGTATTACTTTCACAGCAACCCTGGAGGGATAAATGTACTCAACCTACATGACTGTATGGAAACTGTGTGGTTAGTAAGAGCTACAGTGCCTAATATAGATTAAATAATATTCTGATAAAATGAAAAAAATGTTTTATTAGCTATATATGTGACTGTAAACAAACACAACTAATTCCGATGTTAACGTCTGAGGTAAATAGTTGTCAGCAGATTCTTGCCATATGTTTCAAAGGGATGTGTTTGACTGTTAAATATTTGTTACAGGAAAAATAGAACACGTGTCTTGAAAACATATGGCAAGAATCTGCTGACAACTATTTACCTCAGACGTTAACATCGGAATTAGTTGTGTGTTTGTTTACAGTAAAACAACAATAAAAGAGAGAGATGAATTTCCTACCATTGCAAAACAGCATGTTAGCATTCACTTATTTCTTATTCTCAGTTGGGAGTTTCATGTGCTAATACTTTTCTAGCTGCTTTATCCCAAAGAAGCTACAAGAAAGCCATATGCTCTTCATATTTTAAAATAGTAAACAATGTATCTATGCATTTTATACTCTCTACTATCAATTGAAAATACCACATGTTGATGGTGCCTATTGAATAATGCTTGTGTTCAAAATGCTTCACATTCATATTATCAGAAATAAACTGGAATTAAGAGTCATCAATAAACTTGGAATGAAGGAGCAACCTGGTTTTATTTTATTTTTTTTAAAGCATGGTATCGTTATGGAATTGAGCCACTGCCTTGTGATCACTTCCTTTCAAAACAGTCTCATTCAAATTATTTTCTGTGAGTAAAATTGTAGGCTTCAGCATAGGCTGAAGAGTGGGAGAAAAAGTGTGCAAGTTCATTTACCTGGTCCCATGTAAAACCGTTTCGGAGCTTTTTGAGGCCATCAAAAATGTGAACATCTTTACCAGAGAGAGCAGCAAGAAATGAATACCATGGCGGAACTGGAACACCTCCAACACTCAAACTGTTGTGTGCATACAGCTATATGTAGTGCGTACAGTTACACATTCCTTACACTGAGGTCATCAGATGATTCCTGGTGGTTTCTCATGAACCTGCGGTCAAGCTGGAATCATTCAAGGTAGGTCTTCAGCACATGGATTTGTTCTCAAAGGATCTCCCAAGTCCTTTCCAGGCACTGACATGGTTTCCTTGTCAGGGCCTTTGGTTCTATTAGTGCCATCTGATTTAACTGTTTTAGGGTGACAAAGATTGTTCAACCTTTGTATTTTATTGGGTAGGATAGCAGTATATAAATCTTGTAAATAAATAGGTCGGAACAATCAGGATTGCTCAGACACTCTAAGTCTCACCTATCTAGTGCACATCGTATGAGCATATTCTATTTTTCATGTGATCACTAGTAGTCAAATCGAACTAGAATTGGTATGCCTTTATAATATGAGTTACAGCAGAAAATCTGTACTGGACAATTGTTCAGGAGAGGGAAAAAGTAGCAGTTCTTTTTTGTTTTTCTGGGGGACTCTGCATGCAAAAAGAAAAATAGACATAACCATGGATTCTTCATGTTTCAAAAGCTCTGTCCCTAGTAAGTTGAAATTAATTTCACATTTTGCTTCCATGTGTTATTTTTCATCAAAATTAAAATCTGAACACATAATGATAGTAAGTTTCAGAGAAATAAGTTAAAGATGACCTTTTCATTATTTTGAGAAAGGACATGTTGATTAATTTGTCGACCAAGAAACATGCTTCCAGTGTTGTCCTTTTCCAATGTGTTGCTTTCAATATGTTTTGGATTTCAGGTGCTATGAGTCCCAGAAAAAAATGATCAGGATTTCTTGGAACTGGAGTTTAAAACATCTGAAAAATACAAGGCTGAGGAAGACTGTACAGTATAATGTATATCACCATCAGCCTCATGTCAATTTGATGTAATATTGATAATTGAAGCTTCCTTCCATATTTAATTATTAAATCAATGTGACTAGTTCCACATGACTAAACTGTAGCTGTAGTAAGACCCTTAGAAGTCTGCTTTTTCTGTCCTATGGACACCATCTACAATTTGCCTGTCAAATGGCAGAGATCCTAAACAGAACCTAAGCAAGTTAAGAGTTTCTACCAACTAGGACTCATGACGTGTGTATGTGTGTAAAGAGAGGGGAGATATTTAATTCATGGGATCTTATGAGTAACCTTTGATTAGGTAAGCAAATAAAAAATTAACACAGATTAAGGTGGTTTCAATTCATAGTAACACTGGTACCACTGCTGTCTTTCATCCTTTTCTTGGAGCTATTCTACTGGTAAGAACATTTGTTGGTCCTGGCATAAATGCAGAAGAGGGAAGTTATCTTCCTTTCTTCTTTAGAAAATATATACAGTGTCAGAACAGTCACTTTCAGATACAAAGCCTAGCCCATTTTGAATATTTAGCTTATATCTATATCTCAAAATTGTCTATAATCTCAATGACCACCCCCAATAAATTATAGATTTGGGACCATTCAGTTTCTGACAAAATTTTACTATTTGTATTCTGTGTTCCTTCTTGCCAGTCATATTTTAATGGCTTAGCCAATACACTGTCTCTGGTTTCTTTTTCTGTAATTTTTTGAGCATCTTCACACACTGGGATGGTAATAAACACAGCCCTGTAGCAAGGCTGTGACGAACATCTGCCATAACCTCCATGTCCCATGTCCTGCACTTAACTCCGATGAAAAATGTTCATCTTGAGAACCCACTGCATGCTTTGGGAACATTCTAAGTAAATATATGTGTGCTGCAACCATTTGTGTGCAATCTCTTGATCTCTTTAGGGATCTTCTTGACAAACAATATTCCCCCAACTGCATATTCTGTAGTAGGGCTTTTTTTATAACAAGTTGCATCTCTTCTCTAATGTTATCAATAAAAACAGGACAGGAAAAAACAGCAGCTGCATTGCCAAGCCATATCAAAATGCTCTTTCTATTCTGCAGCTTCCCTTGAGGACCTCAAGAGGCACCATTAAACAGACCACCTGCTGTGCAGCATTATCTTCTTCTGAGGTGCTATAATTGTTCACTGTATCACAAGAACATCTTTGCCACAATGCTGAGAGTTCTTAATTCACAACTGATGTCCCTAATGCTAGAACAAAGCAAAACTAGTTTTGGTCACTGCAGCTTTTCTGAACTATAGAGGAACAGAATGCTTGAATTGTTCTTGCTGCCAAATGCTGGGGATGATATGACCTTAAATATATGTTATACGTGCAGAATTCAGCATCATTTGCTTACTCATTAAATAATAGTTTCCCTGATGTGTTGTGATTTCTTAAGAGACTGGCTGATTATTCGGTAGGCTCTGAACAAATGAAAAATCACAGATCTTAGAAACAATTTATTTGCTATTTGCCATAGATAAAATAGTATTTACATTCTGGTGGCAATAAAGAACATCATTGCTACCTGTGTTTCCTTTTGGTTTGGCACTGTTTCTAAACCAAACAGATCCAGATTTAGTCATGCTTAGAGTAGATTCACTGAAATAAATGGGACTGGTTAGTCCTATTTTGATTCCAGTGAGTTAACTCTGAGTAGAATTAAATTTGGATGCGATGATGTGCATTTTTACAGATGAGTCCAACAGCTACAGTTTTGAAATGCAATTACACAGTGGACAGCATGAATCATTTGCACAAGCCATGTGCTAGTGTGGTGTCAAATGCATGAGTAATGTGGGAGTCATAAGGCATATTAGTTTTTGTTTTCTTTTTCCTTTCTTTCTCTAGGATAAGTGCAGGAGCTCTCATCCAAATCAGGAAAGTAGTTTGGAGTGTTGCGGAGTTCCGTTCCTCCTGACATGGTGCTGAGCCTGGGAGGAGGGATTGAGCCTGCAATACAACCAGATAGCAGTGCAAATGGATGGCCATTTGGCATAGTATATTGCCAGCACCAGTTTCTGCTCCGGAAAAAGCCTCCTAGCATCGCATGAAAGTCCGGACGGTTTTCTTGTGATAATTTTAGAGTTTAAACAAAAAGAAAAAAAGATGCTGATGCTGCTAACTACATTCTTCAAGTTCCTTCTGCTTTGGGCCTGTTTGAATATGTACTGCATCATA